GAAAGGCTACAGTTGGAACTAACATGAAATAGTTTGTGGTTCAGTATTGGCTAATAGTAAATACAACTTGAAATGTGCAATGATACATGATTTACTATATGTACCAGTTAAGAGATTTAACTTTGCAAGTAATTGCCAAAGATTTGTACACACAATGAAGTAATAAACTAAGTGTTATATTAATGTTCTTTATACTGTCATATTTTACTGTTGTATAAGGGATACAGAATAATTTGGACAAGGTGGCTACATTCTGAAGACAGTTTTACTTAATGTTTTGAAAGTATTGTTTAAGTTTTATTATATTATTCATCAAGGGTCTGCATATCAGTTTTCATATGAATTAAAATTCTATCACAATAACTCAACATTAGAAAATTAATTTCTGTAACAATGTAGGCACAATATTGCACAGTACATGGATTCAAACATCAAGATTTGCATGAAAGATAAATTATTATTAAGAATCATGTTGTAAATACCCAGATCCTGTACTATTTATCTGTAGAAATAAAGTACAATCTCTTGTGTAAGCATTTCCTTGTATAATGTACACAAATATAAAAAAATAAAAATATTCTGAACATTTTATAGCTTGACTGTGCAAACAGTGATTTATTACCACCCTTCTCATTTCGTCAGGTTTCTTTCCTATTCCACATTATTTAAATATAGCTTCGTTGATTCTGTCATCTTTAATCTTTGTTACTCTTGTGTTTAAAATATTACATTTTACATTATTCTCTGTATAATGACATGGTATCAACAAATTTCTATATACTAATGCTGGCAAACTGTAAATATGAAATATAGCAAAAATCTAATATGAAATTTGTTCAACATTAAAATAATTTGTTCATATAAGACATCATTCAGGAAATTTGGAAAAAGTAAATTTCTGGATGCATATTAATACAATACTAGTATCACTGGCAAGGAAAAGTGTGTGTTTGTGTGTGTATGGGCTTTTATGTCTGATATACAATGTATGAGAAAAAGCTGAGGACTAACTGTTATTTGGCTAGGTCTGTGGCTGCAGAGGAAATATTAAGTGTAAGCATCATTCACACAGCAATTTAATAATTAGATTATGTTCATTTACTTCATTTGGTCATGAAAGATGAATACTGAGAATGTACCCACATGGAATCACAGATTACTGTAATGTCTTGATCACTGTACTTCCACCCACATTTTCAGACGCTACGTACTTCATTTATATACAGAAAGTCACAAACAGCTGGATATGCTTAAATACAAATAAATTATCATTACATTTTATGCAAACAATTATTGTTTCTGTCAAGGACATGCAATTAAAATTATTAAGTAGTCATTATTACAACGAGAGCAGCACAGAATCATGCGAACTATAATATGCTCTAGACCAGGCACACACATTTCATGTAGAGTTTAATAGATTTGTCATTACTTACATGGTGAAAAAGTATGAAAAGCACTATCCATTTCCTTTCACTGCCACAATTTTATGCTTCAGATCACGAATCGCCATAGAAAAGCCCGTGGGTCCATCATGTCAACAAAGTATGGTACAATGTTCAAAAATGCCGCGTACAACGCAACGCCATATTACAATTAACATCAAAAGCGCACACACTACTGCGACCTACTACGTTTACATCGTTTGTGACACAGATGTCCACCGAAATAACGTAACTTGTCGCTACGGGTATTGTCGTGTCATCTATACCAGAA